GTTTGGGAGTTTTGGAGCGCCTATGCACAATGTTCTCGGACATTACTTGCGGCTTGGTGTCAGTGGAGTTAAGCGTGTTATTGTTAGCCTTGTCAGCTTCCGAGTCCCCACTCTCTCCGAGCACCTGTAACATCATTGGGAAAAAGCGTTGCACACTTGCACAGAACTGGACATTATAAGGCTGATCTGACTCTGTAACATGAAATACCAACTGAGGTACAAAACCCATATCTACTAAGGAGAAAAATGTAGAAATGCTTTCATATCAACATGATTCTCCCAAAGAATAGTTTAGAGGAAACTGTAATTACTCAAGCCTTATTGAAACTGCTTGTGGGCTTGTTGGTATTCATGATGCACTGACAGACTTTGCCAAGGGACATATTCACATTCACAAACATGAAAAGCTTCAAGGGACTCCAACATCAGAAATCATTAGTAACTTTTAAACATGATAAAAGTTATAAGACATGCCAATCACTCTTACACTGCATCCCAATTTTCTGATATTATTACACCTCATGATGTACAGACACACAGACAAAAAAAAAAAAAAAAAAAGAGAATACTTGTAACTGTTATAGCTGGAAAGTGTGTGAGTCTTCAAGTGGGCTTTTAAGTTGGTTAATATAAGCGGACAATCAAAATTTTAAGAAGAGAACCAGTACCTACATTATTTTTATTTTACCAGAAGATTCCATTTAAGGTAAGACAATATCAACACATTTTGCAAAAACCATGGACAATTACCATTAAACTGCTTCTGTCCCTCTAAAGCCCTTTTCATGCAACTACAATGTCTTATTAAAGACATTTTAGAAAGCTTTTTAAAAAATCAATTCATTGAAAAAACATTTATTTATAAAAGTCAGAACTTCTGAAGCCACTGCTCATGAAACAGGCAAATGCTTACACATGAAAAAGGCTACTGCCCATCATAAGCAATCTTTTTCTGTAATGAAGTCAATTAACCCTGTTAAAAAAAGATGCAAAAAGCCCTATACCACAATTATTCTTACCTGTTTTATCGCACTTTCATATCGTTCTTCTAAGTCATCTGTAGGATATGTTCTGTTCCTCTGTGCATGGCGACGCTGGTGTTCTGCACGCAACTGATGCATCCTCTCAGATCGAGAAGGCTCTCCTTCATCTGGTCTCATTTGAGGCTGCTGTTGCTGCTGTTGATTGTGGAATAAGCTTAATGATATGCAGGAAGAACATTCAGTTGGATAAATAATGGAAAACAACTTCTATCAAATAAACAGAAAAAGTAAAAGTTTGAACAAAGGAAGATCCTTTTGCTAATTTATTGGACAATGAGTATTTTACCTGATTGCTGCGAGCAGTGTTTTCGATCATGCGCCTGTACTGCTCCTGCATGCGATCGTGCTCTTCCTGCTGTAGGCGTCTTGCAGCTGCCAGCCTCTCAACCTCTGCACGGTCGACTTCTGTCCGACCTTCTGAGCGATCAACCTCCCCATCACCTTTGCTTGTGAGGCCATTGGGATTGTCGATACTCTTTCTGTGTTTTCCAAATCTATGAAATGACAGGTTTTTAGTAATGCATTCCATGGTACTATTATGATAAAATATCATCTAAACTCTCATTATTTCACCAATGTAAAAATAAACTCGTATATTTCACAATATTCATTCACACCATACATTTCAAATACCTGAACATGGAACCAAGTCCTTTGAAGATTCCTGGCTTCTTTTTGCCAACTTTCTTATACTTATCATCGACAGCAGAATTCACTGATGACTGCCGACTGTTGCCTCTGCCGAAGCCAGAGCCACTGGATTCTGACTCTTCTTCTGCAACTAAATATCCAAAATATTCCTCATGTGAGAAAAAATCTTCTGAAGGCAATCAGCATACAGAAAATGCACAACATTCAGAAGACACATCAGCAGAAGCAAAAAAAAAAAAAAAAAAAAAAAAAACATTGAAAAGCAACAATTGCCACAACAGTAGGAACATGCATGGAAAAAGTAAGGAACACCAGAGCAACATCCAAGGACAAGACAGCGCAAAATCAGGAAAGAAAACATGGAGTCAAGCAGTCGTAGGAAGGGGTGCCAGGATCCACCGCCATCAAGTGTCGAGAGGAAAAGGCAAATTGCACGCAAGCAATGCACAAATTTGGTCACGTGTTACCCACAGGAAATGGTGAATGTATGAACAATTCACAAGTAGCCCCACAGTCAGGTGATTCCAGGTCACATTCCCAATGGGATCAAGGAACATTGAGCATCCAGGCCCCATCGGGTCATAGAAGGTCAAGCCAAAGGTCCGAACGAACATGAGTAGGGTTGTCGGTGTCGGTGCACAGTAGGGTAGGAGTCAAGGCGGTAGAGATGGAGAGAAACATGAATCTATTAGGATTGTCCCTTGGAGTTGGATTACAGTGACTGTACTACTCTTCAATGAGAACTTATCCTCTTTTTTACCAGTCTACCATACATTGAAAGGTTTGGATTCATTACTTTTTAGGAAGTGTTACTTTAGGATCTACCTCAACAAATCACAGTCTGAGAGAGAGTATATATATCAAACTACATTCTCAAACTTGTACAAATATATATATACTTCTGATGATTGTACTTCTGTATACAAAATAGTTTACATTTTATAGACTTCTGACACTTACGAGTTTCCATCTTATTTCTTAAACCGGTGAGAGGGACATCATAAGACCTGTCAACAGCAGCCCGGAAGCTCTCATTGCACCCACGGCCCCTTGGCACTCTGCCAGAGCCCATGCGATGGCCCTCTTCTTCGAGTGCCATCTGGAAAGGGGTTAAAATCAATTTTCTGTCTTTTTGAAAAGAAATACAATGTAAATAAATAAATCTATAGTATCTGCGGCAATAAAACTATCAAGATGCTAAAGCTCATAAAAAATAATTAATATCAATGATTTCTTCCATTAAAAAAAAAAACAGCAAAACAGCTCTCTTCCTGTCTTCTACATCATTTACATTTGCACACAAATTTCAAACAAATAAACAAAGAAAAGTTATGTACCGTTGAGACCATAAACAAAAATCTACCCATCCCTACCTCCTGAACCATTGTCTGCAAGGACTCAAGGCTTGAAGACTTCTTCATGCCTAGACCTGGACCGACATCTAGCCGTGACCGAAGGGCATCTGGAGATTATTTATATGATTTTTATGAATTTGGGTAGAAGCATAAGGACACATTTAATTTATTCAAGTCTCAATCCCTTGTACAGCTGACAACTTGATCATGGTGCACATGCATTGTTGTCATGCATCAAGAAAGCAAATTATGGTTGATATTATGGAATGATGTTCAGGTTGTCATTTATAATTGGGATGAAAACTTTACAACTTTACAACAAAAGAAACAAACTTTAAAATCTTATCTTCTTTTTCCTATGTAGTATCAGTTAAAACAATAGCAGAACTATGTACAAAGTATTGATACTAAATTTGTTAAGAATTGTTAGGGAATGTCAAAAACATTTAATGCATCACAGACTCCATGCAAAATGACTTTCTGGTAAATATTAGTTTAAGCTTCAAATTCATTCTCAGCGACTGACACTATTTATCTTGCTACCATTTATTCTTTCATCTGACAAACTACACTGACGATGACATACCTCTGATAAAACATGTAACACGAACTCTTTATTGGAACTTGACACATTAATATATATAAAAAAGAGACCATTCTCTTTGCAAAAGCCCCCAAGAGGAAAAAGGTCTACCAGAGAATCAAATGAAAAATAAAGAGAGAATTTGTAGTGAGGGATGATTGATGATAATGTGACATCCAACACCCATATGAGAAAGAGAAGAAGGAGAGAGAGAGAGAGGGCAAACAATATATAAACCAGATAAAAAATAAACACGATTCCTCTTGAGATTGTAGCACCCAATATAACCCCCAACCTTTACCCTGTGGTGGCAAGTGCTCATGCTGAGAGGAGGAGGAGGAGGGTTGTTCATGTGCGTGACTGTTGGTGCGCTGGAGATTTTGAGAGGCGAGAGATTCATCCGACGAGGCCCGGACCAGCAGCTTCCCCCCCATCACAGCTGCGTCTCGACTCAATAACTCTCGGTTACGGGCAGCTACACAATAAGACAAAACCAAGAGATTTTATGTAAGTACTTTTTCTAGTTATCTGGATTTTTACATAAAGATCTCTGTGATGCTAGCTATGTTTTTCTTCTCTTGTGGGGTGGGGGGTTGGGGGTAAGGAAAGGTAAAAGGTTTGGGGGAAGCTGTGAGTATAACAAGACAAACATGTGCTGAGAGATATTAATAGTATTATAAGATATTATCTTCATATGTACAAATCCATTTCCATTCAAAACACTCATATCCACATTCAGTAAAGCTCTCTTCTTGCTCTTGAGGTCTGTCTTGATGCTATACCATATTATAACATATACCATATATATGCAATATAAAAAAGTGCAGTGAAAAATCATAGCACATACAGGTGAAAAAAAAATCATACCAGAACAGGGTGTGTTGCAAACATCAGTGTAACACAAAGTAGAGTAATGCATTGCATTCAGAAAGTCAAATATATGTCAGGTGTGAGAATTAGTTAATTAGTAAAGAAATAGTGCAAACCCCATGCAAAAATAAATCAAGCCATACAACCAAAACCAGTTATCCTGCATGTCCCTCCATGGTGCAAAATTATCTAAAAACAATACAAACAAAACTAAGATAAAAACAGAAAAGAAAACAAATACATATAATGACTATCCAGACTACAAGAGGCAAAAAAAAAAAAAAAAAACATGCACCACATTACTCTTGTTAGTTACCCCAGTTTGAGATCATGGCAGAAAGGTCCTGGCCAAAAGTGGTCCGCTGGTTTCCTTTGCTATGATTTCTCTCAAGACTCCGTGTGATCGGACTGAAGGGGCCTCTTGGGTACCCAGACCAATGCCCCTTGAGGCTCCCCCTTCCCACAGTTCTGTCGAGCGTCTCAGAACCCCCCTTCCTTGCATACTGCTGTTTGGACTTTGCCTTTGGACTAGCACTGACAAGGGTGTTGGCCTTCTGGCGCAGTTTGGGGGAGGGCTTTAGAATGGGTCTTGGGATCTCAAGGGTAGCATGGTGGTTCTTTAAAACCGAACTTTGTTGGGAGGTTTTGAGGCTCGATTTCTTTGAGGGTTCTGGCTGTTTTGCCTTCAAGGAAGGGTGATCCTGGGTGGGCAGGTCAATCCCAACCTCCCTTGACCCTGGCTTGAACTCCTCCCGTGTTTCACCTTAAGGACAGATACCATACCAGGGTTAGCCAAAAACATTCAGTCCAGTCTGTCACCATGTTCAAGAAAGGAGGACAGGGCAGTCTTTTCTCATCAACTCATGAACAGACTAGACTAATTGTTACTGACTTCCATTTAAGAAGCTGACCAACTAGTAACAGCATAACTTTAAAGATGCATTTTACAATTATGTAATATCAGTTAATTGTTATTTTTAACTTTATCTTAGAACCTGCTAATAATAATAAAAAAAAAAAAATTTAATACAAATTCATTCATATCATATGTAGACTATAAACATATGACTCATAAAAAAGCATAATTGGTAAGCTTCTTTAGGATATAACAAGCACTCAAAAGGATACAAATACATTAATTTTGTAAGTTAGTTAGTCTCAGAAATAAAAGATACCTTGATATACATTGTCCAAAAATACATCATAGTTTTACATGACTCAGCAAAATGACAGAATGTCTCATAATTCTACCTTCGAAAACTACAATATGAACTACACGCAAATGCACACTGAACCTAGTTGTTAATAAATTCAATACGAAACTACTACCACTGTCTACAGTTATCTACTATTATGTAAAACTATATGCATATAAGTTTTTTTTCTGTTATTGTGTTTATATTCTTTATGAAAGAATGTAACAAAAATTAACAAATTGGGAAGATATGCATGTAAGGGAGAAAAAATCTGAATGCAAGACTAAACCTTGCTTTCTTTTACATTAATGGGAAAAGGAATTCATGTTTAGAGAAATAACAATCACAGGCTTCAGATATCACCCAGAAATTTAAAACTTAGAGCACCTGAAGAATTAAAGTTGTAATTACCAAGGGACATCAAGAAAATTCTTGTGTTCCGGTGCAAACACTTACCCTCCATAGCAGCAAGTCCCATCCCCATGCCCTGACTTGCGGCCAGCTTCTCTTGTGCCAGCATCATCTGTCTTTGTTTCTCTCGCTCTTCTCTGTTTGGGGGAGTGGTATTGTGGTTATAGGTCTCAGGAGAAAAACTCATCATGGTGGAATTTTGTAATGAAAATCTATATAAATAATTTTACTTCTTATTAATCATTCATGCCCCTAATAATAATAAAAAGGCTGTACTGCCAAAATTCTCACCTCATAATCCCAAGTATAAAACTTTTTAGAGAATCTACCTCAAACTAATATTTCAAACAATCATTAAAACACTATGAGATGAATGTCTTTCTAAAACAAGTTCTTTCCAGCTCTTTCCCCAACCTCGCTTTCTTGTTGCGCTGATAGGTGTCGGTGTTCTTGGCATCTAGGGTGGCGTGGCGCTTCTCCGACATGCTTTGCCGTCCAAATTGATCCCTAGAAAATCCTGCTGCATTTTCTTCTAGGGAGGTTCTGAAATAGGAAAAAAGGAGGGCATCTCGTTATACATCTTCAATTACTTAATGATAACAAGAGATTCTAAAGATAAGTTTTAGTTTAACTGCTCATCAAATTAATATTGAGAAAAATACGTACTGGCTTGTATAGGCATCGTCGGACTGACTTGGGTGGTCACTGTAGCCTCCCGCGGAGGCCCCAGGACCATCAGAGCGACAAATTTCTCTGTAATCACAAAAGCGGAGATAGTGAATGATAGCACGCTCATCAACTGAAAAACACACCTTCAAGATCATATTTTCATCATTCCACAAGAAACTAAAGCTTTCTCTTAAGAATATTGTAGCTAGAAGCTACCAACCCTCACCTTGACATATGATTACCGGCATCGTCATGAATAATGAGGGTGTCTCTGGATGGCAGGTTGACAGTCGGCGACCCAAGGGGGTTGTGGCCGGGCCCTCCCACCGCCACAGACTCCCTTTCGCCACGCATCACCAGCTGCTGCAACTGGGACGTGTTCCACGTGTCATGTGTTGCCTATCGTGCACAAAGAGATTTCTTGAGACAAATTCATGAAGTAAAATGTCCAAAAATAGGCAATATGTATACATCTTCTTCATTTGGACTGTCTCACGTGAGCTTATTATATCTATGTCATAAAAACTGTTGATAAATTTACCTTATAATAACTTTCATTTCTTAAGGCTCCGTTATTCCCAGTGAGTCTCTGAATAACTGGGTTAATGTGGCCAAAATCACCGGCATCTATTTCATGGCCATCTCCTTCATACTGACAATCAAGAAAAAATTATGTAGCCCGACAATGTAATCAAACAACAAAAAAAGTCAAAGACTGTATCTTCATTTCCATTATGGATTGCAACGAGTGAGACTTCCTTACCTTATGGTCGTTAAAAATGACCGTCGTATCAGATGCATCAGTAGTACCAGAATGATCGGGGGTCGGTGTTGCGGGCGATGACTTGGCACCTCCCAGGGTCTCGGTGCCAGACGAGTTGGTGAGGAGGCTGTTGGCGCTCTCCCGACCTGACCTGTTGTTGGATGAGGGGCTCGACCTCTCCTTGTGGTCGATCCTCCTGGCCACCGTAAGTGAGATGATCCCCGGCGTTGGACCCTGAGGAAAGGAAAAGTCCTCAACCACTGCGTCTCACCAGCACACAATTCAAATGTATACGCCCATCCCTCCCAGCGCCATACGCCCATCCTTGATGCCACGCACCACACACTCACCTCCTGATGCATCGCTGTCCGCAGCGTCTTCATGGCCTCGCTGTTGGGTTTGCCGAGGAGCGACATCCCGTTGATGTTGACGAGCTGGTCGTTCTGGAAGAGGCGGCCGTCGCGCGAGGCGGCCCCGCCGTGGATCACGTTCTTCACGAAGATTCCCAGATCGACCGAGCCGTTCGGGCCCGAGCTCGTCTTGCCCTTCACGCTCACTCCTACGAAGGGGAAAGGAATGTGGATAGATCAGTAAGGATGTTTAAAAATCCTGCCTAGAGAAAGCTCTCACCTATATCACAGGATTAAAATTCACAATCGACTCATCATGCCGATATAAAAAGCAAAGAAAAACTCACCCAGTCCAGCTCTTTCGGAGTCATGCACTGGGATTTCGAACATGAGGATTTCTCTTTGTTTCCACGGGAACATGAGGCTGTCCTCCGCTGCTTTCTCCGCCGGCTGTTGGTACACAAAGATGTAGTTAGTTTGTGGCGAAGCAGTGACGTTCCCAGTTTCTGTTCAGAACCTGAATGCTGGTTTAAATAATGGCTAATAGTAAAACAAAAAACAGAGAATTGAAAAAACTGTGAATATGATATAACTGGTTTAGCTTATTTAGCTCTAATACAAAAAACAAAACAAATATAAACATTAACTGGCAAAAATCGTGATATCACCCCAACAAAAAAATGAATGAAAAAAAATACAAAAATGCAAGCTATATACACATTGCAAACACCGAACTAATAATCTATCAGGCAATGCTTATAAAAAACAAGATGCAATTTGTTATGAACACAAAAAGCTCTGTGATGACGATCTCCCTCCACATCCAACTGACTCGCAAAACTCTAAAATCCATTCACTACAACCTTGTCCTCTATGAACAGTGCCTGAGTGGAGGAGAAAGATCATAATACCTGGCGGAGGAAGGGGAGACTGTCTTGGTGGTGGTAGGAGACCTATAACAAAATGTCAAAGTCAATAACACATTCGGTCCAGGTCGGAAGCCTTAGCACTTACTGAATATCTATTGGTTCGGAACCAAGAAATATACAGGAAATGACACATCTTAATACGACTAAACTACTGAATGCTCACACTTTCTATGAAACCAGGCAAACACACAACGGAGCAACGCGGCGTCAAAAATGACTGACGTGGCTCCATTAGCAAATGCAACAGATTAAAGGGCTTTGGTGGACTCTCTTGTTAACTGTGTCTGGGTCTGAATGGCAATTTTTAATCAGACCAACTCATTAACAGGCCAAAAATTCGTATATTTCTAGAACATCTAAGAAGTGACGGCAATTAACAAGGGTTCCATGACTTGGGAAAAGTGCGAAAAGCGCCGAGCTAAGCAGTGCAGTGTGACTAAATGAAAAAGTGCAGCTATAACAGCATTAAAAAGGACAAAAAAACAAAAGCGCGCGCAAGGCAAGCCGGCCCCGCGACGACCTGAACCCAAGCCCACTCACCAACTGTCTCGGCAGCTTCGGACTCGCAGGCTTTTCGGTCTCCGGCGTTGAGTCGGCCGTCCCCGAAGCCGCATCGCCGTTGCGCTGGTCCTGCCGAGAGACCGCCAGCGTAGCCGCCCCTCCGATGGGGATCTCCCGCAGGAGGGCGGCGACCTCCGACTGACTGCGCCCCGTCACCTCCACGCCGTTCACCTCCAGCAGACGGTCGCCGATTCGAAGGTTCCCGTCCTCGATGGCCGCTCCCTGGAAAGGGGAGCCAAGGTCACACTCACACTCTAAGCATCTATCGCCAGTTCAAAATTACAAACATATATACAATCAAATGACGACCCCTAACCAAAAAACAAAACAAAACAAAAAACATACCTTTGGCAATATATTTTTTATGTAAATGGGAGCCTCTCCCCCGGCGGGGTTGTCTCTTGTGGTTATCGAGAAGCCGAGGCCGTGCTGGCCCTTGGTGAGGTGCACGTTCAGTCTGCGTCCGATTTTGCGCGTGTTGCTCTGCAGGATCACGGTCTGCGTTCGCGAGGAGAGCGACGCCGGAGGAACCTTCCTCGTGGACATGACGCTAGCGACCTTGGCACCTCCGACGACTGCAACCGTAAAAGATAAGAAAATCAATTCCGTTCCTACGGTTTCCTTCCACTAAATGAAGCTGGAATATGACCACTTTCTTTCTGACAAACAACTAACACAAAAGACTGACGGATGTCCTCACGTTTTTCCTCTCCTTCGACCAATTCCGCGGCCTGCCCCGCGTACCACTCCTGCCTCTGGCCTTTGACAACACGCAGTCGTAGTTCTGGCGTTAACATGGCGTCTTTGAAAATTTCTTGAGCCCTGAAGGAAAAACAATCAATAAAAACTGAAATCAAACCAAGTCTTTTTTCTGCTCATAAAACTTCTAAAAAAGCACGCTCGTCTTTACACCGTCCGTGCAACCAAAGTCGCGCTCCTTACTTTTGGAAAGTAATATTATTGAGCGGCTTCCCGTTGATCTCGATGATCCTGTCGTGGACCTCGATCCTGCCGTCGCGGGCGATCCGTCCGCCCGGCTCCACGCCCTCGACCAGCAGCCCCTGGTCGTGCCCCGTGACGTCCGTGCTCGGGATCACGTGGATGCCCAGCGGGCCCCGGTCGTTGCTCAGGACCACGAGGATGCTGCAAAGCCACACCAAGAAATTGCTTTGGGTTCCGTACTTTCGAGTTCCAGTGTGTGAATATCACGTGATTTCTGCTAAGTTAACAATATATATCCAATCTGTTTTACAGATTCTTCGGAGAGAAAGCCGTAGGAGAGAGCTGAGCTCGACCCCGTGCACCTCCAGAAGAGAACCGACCTGTTGGCGGCCTCGTCATGCGAGGGGTCCCTGGAGTGCATGGGGGACGAGGCTGACCCTCCCAGGGGCTCCCGCCGCCTGCCCTCGCTCGCGCCCACCACTCGGTCCGCCGCGTCCGCCCACCGCGCCATCGCCGGGTTGTCGGACAGGACCTGCGCGGAAGCAAAGCCATCATCAAACTGAGATTCTTAAAGACGACGCTTATCAATCTTCAATAGGGTACCAGGAAGCAAATCGGAAAATGTAATATAAATTGCATTTCCATCTTTTAACATTCCAAAACTCTGATGAGCCTTTGAGGAAATGTAAATCCCTCGCATGTCCTACAACCAAACCAAAAAGAAAACCAAAAAGGAAAGAGACAAGAAACTGAAAAAACAAACAAAGAGGCAGAAAAATGAAAAACGAGTATCTAGAAGCGCTGCAACTACCTGAACAGAACATCTATTGGTGTCTCTAGAGAATCTGGTGAAGGCGGTGGTGGCGGAGTGGTGGGAGGAGGAGGAGGAGGAGGAGGGCGTCTTCTCCTCCCCCGAGCCCTCCCCCCTCTCCCCCGGGTCCACGAACACGTTGTCGTCTTCGTAGGAGCTGTGGCCGTCCTGGACATAGAGGTGGGGAATCTAAGTAGATAAACGGGGAGAGAGAAAAGGAAAGAGAAAAGGGGAAGGGGGAATGAGTTAATGAACGCTTTGTGGGCTGCGAGAACTTAGAGTATGTTTGGCAGTGACCAATGATGATTGATAATAACAATCGATATAATAGTAATAATAAAGGTAATATTAAAAGTTCTACAAGACACGTCCCATAGTCATGCCTGAGACCGTTAAAGCCAAGCAATGATTCAAAATCAAAAAAGGAAAAAATAATAAAATGATACCATACAAAAATATCAAATCAATAGTAAACAAATAACAAACTCATAAAACCTGAACAAACAAGCCAACCATAAAATAATAACTTAGAGAAGTCACAAAACGAAATTCGGAATTCCCGACGCCACACTTACCACCATTTTCATGGGCGTGGAGCTGGGCGGCGCATTCTGGTCCTCGATGATGGGCGCGGCCGACCACCTCTTGGTCGGATCGGGCGGGGCGGCGGCCGCGGGCGGGATGGGCGAGAGGCGGTTGAGCGCTGGCTCGCTCCCGCGCCGCACGTGCAGCGGCGGCGGCGTGGCGCTCAGCTCCTCGCCGGTGATCTCGATGTCGTTGCGTGTGAAGGGCGCGAACTTGTGCTCCACGCCCTGCGGGGAGGCCGAGGGTGAGGGCATTGCGGGGGGGGGGGGAATTTAAAACTAGAGGGGAAGTTATGAGAGATGTGTGATGGAATAAAAGAACAAAGAAAGCCACCTCTTTCTCATAGCAGATTACCAGAGCTCCATGCTTTGGCGGCGGGTATGTAGAATACGCCCTTCTATAACTTCATACTTTCAAGATCTACAACCTATTCTGCCCCTCACAACTAGTCAGACTCTTTTCACCCCCCCCCCCTCCTAAAAAACAAACCCTACCTAGGACCCTTTGGACGAAAGAGAAGTCAATCCAAACTCACTTGGAAAATATCTGGCGAAGGGTTTTCCGAGTCCGAGGACGCCGAGGTGCCGTCTCCGCCGTGGTGGTGGTGGTGGTGCGTCTGCTCATCGTAGATGGCTATGATCTGCTCCCGGTCGTCGGCCACGTCGTTGAGGCGGTCGTCCGGGTCGAGGATGCCTCCGTCCAGCTGCTTCAGGTTGTGCACGGTCACCCACGAGTTCGATGGCTGCGGGAGAGGCCGCCGTTAGTGTCATGGATTAGGACAAATAGAAGTAGGAAAAAGAAAAACATAAAAACTTAATATATAAGCAAAGTCAAGCATACGCATCCACACAGAAATGCCAGGCATACATAGTTAAAAAAAAAAAAAAAACGAAGCATGTGCATGCAACATCTAACGAAAACAAAATCGCTTCGAAAAAAAGCAACCGCGACATAAAAAAATGGAACGCGGCCAAGCTAGCCTAGGCTGCGCGTCCTCACAAAGACGAAGGATACTGCAGGAGCTCCCTGGGCCCACGGGCTACGGGAGGCCGGCCACCGAGGGCATCAACCGTGAGGAAATGCCTCCGCTTGGGTGTGTGTGGGTGGGCGTGTGTGGGTGGGCGTGTGTGGGTGGCGTGTGTGGGTGGGCGTGTGATTGAAACGGTATGTGTGCGATTGACTGAATATGCGGTTGAGTGAATAAATATATGAATATGTGGATGATCGAGCGCGTGTGTGCGAGAGAGTGAGCGCTTAATTATTGATGTGTATAATGAGGGGAATTGCAACATAGTGAGACCAAGAGTGTGATACTGATAACTCGCCACGAAATTACTAGCGACTTTCTATCACACTGCTGATTTTAATAAACATATCCTTATCCTTCTGGGACCTGTGCTGCGAGCATGACCAGAGTCGAAAGGCCGTGGAGGGAGAGAGGGAGAGGAGAGAGGAAGGTGAGAGAGGAACAGGAAGGAAAAACGAGGGGGACAAGAAGAGGAGAGGATGGAGGAGAAGGGAAGAGTGGGAATAAGTGGAAGAGTGGGGAGGGAGAGGAGACGGAGGGAGGCGGCCAGATCCACAAGGATGTGCATGAGACGAGAAAGGGCGAGGTCAACGGTCCGCTGCATGACGCCGTCGCTGCCAGGACCCTCACTCATTGGACATGCACTATGCAGTTAAACAACAAGCGATGATATGAGTGATGGAAGAGACATAGCGTAGGGGTGAGTGGAAGGAGGAGCGCAGGGACAAGGGTAGAGACAGTGCATAAAAGGGAAATGATCATGAAAGATTCTGGCAGATCAGTCGAGCGATACAAAGCATACGATAACGATACAGAGCAATCGAAACACATAATAAGCTAAGCTCCGAACGCACTACATGTCCGCGCAAGACACCCAAACACATACGCGATCGCCACGACTCTTCTAAACTCTATCCCGTACCACTCTCGCGTCATCTATCTCTCTACATATACGATTATTCTCCATTTCGCGCACGGCTCCACATGAGCCATGTCACGTCACGCGCATAAGGCGCGACGAGCCTCGGGCGGTCATCTCAGCGAGACAGACAGCAGGTTGGTAGACTGCGAGCTGAATCCTCCCCACTCTGTGGTGGGGTTAACAGGAAAAAGTTACACAATATTTACGAGTAGCGAGATTGTACTACAGACAGGCAAAACGAACTCGTATCTAAACCTGTGCATTCTGTGTTGCCACTGGAGATACCATGCTCCAAAGGGATCTTCTTGGAACGGGTATAGTCGAACGAGGAGATCTCGAGTGGTTATGCTGTTATAGCTGAAGGACATACTTGGTCTTCAGTTCACGCGTTGTTACTGTCCGTGCCTCCACCTCCTCCTATCCTCGACTTTCTCCCCCACGCAGAGTCCTGTGGCTCACGAACTTCCGCTCTTCGTGATACCGACGGAGCAGTCCCCTTCTCTGAATGATTACCGTCTTCAAGAGGCGATAGGCAGTGTATCTGAAACTACAGCGCCCCACAGCTAACATTTCGGTGTTTCCCTTACAAAGGGGTAATACATACATAACTACACACAGTGAAATCCGCTGCTATGTGAACAATGCACTCGGCAGCAGGATACAGCCGAGAGATAATATCTCCGTTGGGTGCGCGATGGTTAATTATCAGTCCCGTATTTGAGTACTCGCAAGGCGTCCCTCGGGCTGAAAACAGTGTTAGCCGAATACGAAACACTTCTCAGTGCATTGACATCGAGTTGTCACGCCCAAGCCATCGTGCAGAGACGACGCCTACGCGTCAGCTCACACACGGACACAGCGAGCACGGCTGACTTGCATAGCTGAGCGCGAAGCAGTGGGCGCGTGCGACCCCAGAGTGCCCGGCGCAGCCGCCAGCGGAGTCCATCGCTCGAGAGGCGAGGCAACGCACTAGAAAAACGCACATCGCTTTGCTGGAAGAGGAGCGCGAGCGCAGGGAGGAGAGCCCTCTATCTCTGCTGGTCGATCGGACAGCGATGTCGTCCGCACACGCTGCCGCCTTGCAGCGCTTCGTCATTGACGTATCCACTCCCTGTTGCAGTCTGGTCGGCCGCCGGAACCACCTAGCCTACTCTCGTCGCGCCGCGCTCCGGCGCGCAGGGCATGTGTGCCTGTCCTGTCTGTGCGTGGTTGCATGGAACCCTGCTTTGTCCTTGGATTTGCACTAGTCTCGCTCTCCGCTTCATCTTGTTCCTTCCTCCGTCGAGCTTGTGTGCTGCTTGTGTTGTTCTCGTTGCTGTCGTTGTGCTGTGTGTGCTTTCCGTGATTGCATTCACCCAGTCTGTTGTGTCGCGTGTGTGTGTCTCGTGTTGTGTGCTGTGTCGGCTCTCCTAGCCTTTGTGTGCTTGTCGCCCCACTGTTTGCGTCGCGTTCGGTTCCTTTTCCGCGTTTGCCCAGTCGACTTATGAGCCTCACCTCACCCATCTGTGCCACTCCTCTCTATCCCCCTTAACCCCGCCCCCGTAGCATCTGATCAGCGGTCCTTTCATGGCTTGTCGCATGCCGTTGCGTGTGCGTTTTGCCGGTGCGTTTGCGGTGCCAGGTGAGGTGTGTTATGTCGTGTGCGTAGTGGGAGAAGCGTTAGGTCTGTTGGATGTGTTGATACTGATTAGCGAATAATAAGCGCTGTTGTGTTCATCTGTGTATGTGTGCTTTTGTCTATGTGATCTGTCAATGTATCTGTCGTATGTCCGTGTCGCGTTTATGATAGTGTTGTCTCGTATTATGATGGATGTGCGCTTTCGTTATTGTATGTGTCCGTCGTGTGATTGTTTCGGTGTTTTGTCTTGTCTGCTGTGTCTCTGTTTCGTTCGTTGCTCTTTCCGTTGGCTGTTAACAGGATTAGAAGTGAGTGTTGCGTGTCCGGGTGTGCTGGTGTCTCATCTAGTGCGTTAGGTTTCGTGCTGGCTTGAATTTGTGTGATGTGTTGTGTTGTGTGTGGTGTATTGTTTATGTGTTTGCGTGCGTGTGTATTGTATCGCGTATCTACGTTTTCTCTCCATGTCTCCTCCTCGACCTCATGTCTCTCCGTTTAACCTGTGCCTTTTCCCAGCCAAGTCAGTCCGCACCCTGCCCCTAGGCGTTTCCCGTGCACCACGACCTCTCTACACGCCTCGTAGGTGCCCGAAGGCCGTCGCATACTACGCTGCAAGCGCTTCCATAAGCCGTGCAGACCTCGGATGTCTCTACATGCGACTCGCACGTCGGCGTCAGGGTCGCCTGGTACGCGTTCGCCCACCGTGAAGAGTCCTCCTGCCCTGAGGTCCACACCGACAGCTGGACTCCCCGTGGACCGTGCGCCTCGCCGATCGCAAGACAGATGCGGACTCACTTGCGAGGAATCGTGCAATTATTGTCCCTGACCCAACGCCGACGAGCTGGCTGTCATCATCTTCAGTGCCCATGTGCTGCTCTCACTGACGGAAGGAACCTCAAGCGGACGCCTCACTGAATGCCGCTCGTCAGGCAGGGCGATGCTCCAGCGCACGTCCTACTGCGAACTTAGACCTCGCCACCACTAGCGGCAGGACTTTGCATCCGTCACCTCCCTAATTCCTCGTCAGCGAGCGTCTGCGCAGCGTTAGAGGATCTCGAGGCTTTCCACCTCCCTCTTTCACTCGCACCTAACTACCTCTTGTACGCCAAATACCGCTCTCTATACTACGCATTCCCCATCCTTCTCTCCTCCTCAATTCTTACGCTTATTACTCTCTCCTCCCTCCTCCTACGCCTCTGCCTAATAGGGGGGCGTATAATAAGGTAACTTTATATAGGCAACCTTGTCCTATCTACGCTTTCCGCTTCTCTTCCGTCCTTTTCCTACTAAAGGCGGAGATTTAAACGCTTGGGTTCTCCTTCGGTCGGCCGCTCGCGTACGGTATAATGCTACGCTTCGGGCCCGTGCTCGCCTTCTCCTCCTACGTTACAGCTGCTGGTGATCATATGCTCTTGTTCCCCTCGTGTGCCGCTCCTCGCATCCTCAACTAGACTCTCCCTACCCTCGACTCCCTTAATATCTCCGCGTTGACCCCTCTGCCCTTACTCCCTGCCTCCTAGTCTACGCTTTCCCTCTCCCTTCTCCTCCTATCTACGCTTTCCCTTCTCTTCCCTCCTTCCTCCTAACTACGCTCTCCCTCCTCCTCCCTTATATCTACGCTTTCCCTCTCCCTGCCTCCTCCTTTCTCCTGTATCTACGGTCTCCTCCACCTCCAGACTCACCTCCTGCCGCAGCGTCTTGTGTCTGCGGTGCACATGGTAGGTGTGCGTGCGCGAGAAGAGCCGGGAGAGCTTTTCGGCCACGCTCACCACCTCGGAGTAGTGCAGCTTCAGCTCACCGGGGATGTTGAGCACACTCCGAGAGGCGCCGGTGGTGGCCGCGCTGCTGACGTGACTGTTGTTGTTGTTGTTAAGGTTGTGGTGGTTATTGTTATTGTGAGCAGCAGAGGGCACCGCCACGCTACGACTCCGCATGCGCATGGTGATTCAAGTGTTTTCTTTTATTATTAGTGTTCTATTCTTGACACCATCACAATTATATTTTTCCAAGTCTTTTTATTCAATACTTCACTTTGTAGATTTTTTTTCAGTATCAGTAACAATTTCTTCGCGTTCAGCGTGACGACGCGTCAACGAGACAGTTGAGGCGGTTCAACCTGTCGAGAGCGTCTTGAAAGGCCAACGCCTAGCCCCTGAGTGTCCTGGTCACGCTACCTGCTCGGGCTTCCTGTCATGTTTACCTGTAATGGTCGCTGGGTTAGAACACTCGCACCTTCCCCTCGCGAAACGCACTCGCCCTCATCTGCCCTCGTTCGCGACGTCCGCTAACGAGGACTCTTCTGCGTCGTTTTGGCGTCTGCCGAGGCTCAGGCGAGCACCCAGTCGTCTCTCTCCTTCTAATCAAAACGCGGGGTCGCTCCGTTGCCTCCCCCCAACCACTACAACCCTAGATAACTCTGTCGCTCTGGAGTCATTGGACCCATCCCTTCTCCCTCCTCCCCACCCATCAATCGCCCTTAACGCTCTCTAGCAGGCTAACCATGGCATTCATCGTTTAGAGCGTCACAACAATCTTTTGTTCACCTGGGCTGTACAATTAATATGAAGATTAGCTCTACTGGGCCACGGAGTATGCCTTAAAGCCTACTGGCAGTACGAACGGCATAGCCACCGTTTCCATAAGCGTGGATTAAGAAGTCCTCCATCCTACTTAGTTTCTCACTTCCACCTTTGTACCTCCAATTAATAGCGCCCTCCCCTCTCACTCTTCTGACCATCGTCACCACCATCAGGCCACATCATCAGTTCACCAACGGTCGAGAAAGCATGAGCACGTCACAGGGTCTAGCCTCCGTCTGTCACTTTGTGCATCTCGCATTCTCCCCCGGGATTCGCGCCCAAGGCTGTGGCTGCCCGCACACATTGCCGCGCCTGATTCTAAGCGCTCCTTGCTCACGCCCCCCCCTGCCATAGTTTTACTTGCTCAGCCCCGCCGTGACCAATCTATCGATACAGTGCTGGTGCCGCAGCGACCGTGGCAGAGGTCGACGGCAGCCTTTCTCCCTTCTAGAATGGCCTCTGACTCAGCCCCAGCTTTCGCCTTCTGCAATGGCATTATGATATTAAATCCATATATAAATAAACTGCAAGCCCAGCACGCCATAGTTGTAATTCTCCCCTATATCTCTCTCTTTCCATGACCGCATTTACCACTATTCACCATATCACCTGTTCTCCCCTGTCCACGCTCCCGATATCTCCGACGGCCGCACCACTCCCACACTCGCCGACTGGTATTACGCCCTCTCTCTCCTAGAAGCTCCGGAGCGGCCACACAATCAATAATCGCATGCTGATTGACAGTCGCCGCAATGTATCTAGGCACGCCGCCTCCCCCCCTCTTCCCCCTATTTCTCCCCCTCCCCACCCTTCCCCCTATTTCTTCCCCCCCCTCCCCACCCCTCTTCCCCCTATTTCTCCCCCCTCCCCACCTCTTCCCCTATTTCTCCCCCCCCTCCCCCCAGTGCTTTCGCCCCTGTGTTGTCGCGCCCCCTCCAACAGCCTGCGTTCCCACCCTATTTACTCCCCCCCTACCGCCAAGCCCTCTTCCCCCTATTGTCTCTCCCCCCCTCCCCACCCTCTTCCCCTATCCCCCCCCCCCCCTCCCTCGTGCAGCCTCGAGGCAACGGGGCGTGCCGAAGCCGGTGAGTCGTCGCGACTGAATGTTTATTTTGCCTTGTTTATCGGTGAGAAGACAAGCCATAGCTAATTGATAAACCCCTGCTGGGTTCCGCCCTACTCCAAGCCGCCGATCATCGCGAGCGTATTGACTGGAGCTTGATAACAGGTGCGAAGCTTAGCGAAGAGCTCGCCATCGCTTTGTGATTTTCCGGATTTATGACCTATGATCCGTGTCTGGTGCTCGAACCTTTACCCGTTGCTCCGCATAATCTCTTAAGCGTCGTAACCCTCGCAATTACTTAAACCCCAATACAAACATACCACACAACCCACATATCTCGAATGTACCATCCGGCGTGCCGGCTTCAGGTGCACATCGTAACCTCCCTGCGCGCTCAGCACTGTGACGCACTCTAGATCCCCGTGCTCGTCGTACTGCGTGCTGCCCGCCCGTCCTCCCTACGTCGATTCCTGCCTGACCGTTATAGCTCCCCTCTACCCCCCTCCATTCCATTCTCTCTTACCCACGCCCGCCCTCTCTCATCCCCCACTCGTCTCCCTCCATAGTACGCTGTGGTCTCGTGACGTTGGCGCAGACGGCGTCACACGGTCACGCGTCGCCTCATATGGACCATATCAACTTACAATCTGACAGCGGTCTCAGTGCATCGCCGCTGCGACTCAGTAAGCGGCAACAGGAATGCGGATACCGATGCTGCGAGATAGTGAGCTCAGATGTACTTCGAACACTTGTGAGATGGAAAGAGGCTGGAAGTCATAAGTACATCGAGGCTATTCCTCCTCTCCTCGCCCTCCCACATAACGGATCAATCCCGGCACTGAGATCCTTGCTCGTGCATCATAGTTAGCCTAGATGCTCTGTCACATATTCCATCGTAGTACTTCCGCTGTCTTCCCATCTCTCCATCTCGCAATATAATACACTCTTGATCAAACCACGCTAACTTACATACATCATAAAGTGCATGTGTTTATGTTGAGCCCTCTTATATTCGTGTAGTTTTCCTCTTGTCCCACAATCTTTCCACAGCTGCCGAGCGCAGTCTCCTTTCACCCTCATTACCCTATCTGATCACATAAAAAATAGCTACAGCACTGAACGCGCCACCATCGACCGTAAACGCGCAGACATAATGCTAAAACGAATGCATTGCATCACCCTCACTCCGTATGCCTCGACGCAACTACGCGTGAAGACGCGACGATTGCGGAGCAGTGTGCAGGCCCGCGAGGAGCGTCACTGATAGGGAAGCTCGTCGGGACCTCTGCTCACAGAGGGCGACGTCAGCGACTCGTCCGCGTGTCGTGCTTGCGACTCGGAGCTGGGTGCCAGCTGAGCGAGCGAAGCGGGCAGCCGGATCGGTTAGAGGGTTTCTCAGTATATATATTTAATGTTTCTCAGCCTGGAGTTCCTTCTTTTTTATCTTGGCGAGGGGGAGGGGGGGAGCGTTTTAGATCACGTGGTTTTCGCCTCCCGAGGGTGCAGCGTCGGATGAGTGAGTACAGGTCGTTATAGGAGGAATGGGGTAGAGGAGATCGGAGGGGGGAAGACGGAGAGGAGTTTGAGAGGAGGAGAGAGGGAGGAATAAGTGAGAAGAAAGGTTCATCAGTGTGATGTTGCGATTTGTTTGAGGGTGTGTAGACATAAAGAAGAGAGAGAGAGAGAGAGTGAGTAGAAGTAGATGAGAGAGGAGCGAGAGAGAGAGGAGAGAGAGACGAGAGATTGAGAGAGGAGGACGAAAAATTGTAAAAAGAAGGATAGGAATAAATTTTTGAGTTTAGGAGGGGCGGACATATTAAAAAACGTGCAGGGGCTTTAATGCAGAGCGACAGGTACCCTCTCCCGGGCGCACGAACGCGTCCTTCCTCGGCCACCAAGAGCTTGCAGCGACCAACGCGCGCGCAGAGTGGGCGAGCGCCGCGGACGTTGCATCAGCCCCTACGCTTTGTTATTCTGGTCATGACACTGGACCGTTAGCAGCACCGGAGAGCCACCAGGGAAGGCGCGTGAATATCTTATTCCTCAACATCGTCGAGAAACACATATGGCGAGCGGAAAAGCTTGGTACTAGCTACATGGGGAAGATGCGATGGAGGAGAGGTGCATAAACAGACTGCAGGATAGTAAGGAGAGGAGATATCGTGACGCGAAAAAGGCGAAGGATGGGAAGGGTAGAAGAAGAGAGAAAAACAGAGGCTAGGATTAACGTTATCCAACGCCATAGCATCTAGACGCTATATTATCAAATAAACAAATCACGCATAATATATAATAAACACACTTTATACAGATCTTTAGTTATTATAATATACATGCTACCATAATATTATGGGCTTACGTCTGAAATAATTGTTATTCTATACGGCGTGATCAACAAGTGTGTTGTGATGATGTGTGCGTGTTTGTAGGCGAGCTAGATAGCTGTAGTGGTGATGTGCTGTCGGGTGCGTGCTGTGCGTCGCTGTTGGTGGTGTGGATGGAGGAGCGCAACGAAGAGAGGGGCGCGCGTACGAGAGCACGCAGAAAGACCCCTGTGAGTAGAGAGAGAGAGAGAGAGCAGCAGAGAGAGATTTGGGTCGACGGTGGCGCCCTCCGAGGGGACCCATTTATTCTCGGCGGCCACGGGCCTCGGGTACGTGGCCGGAGGGGAGGGGGAAGGGGGGAGAGATCACGAGCTGCGATCCCTCTCCGCTCTTGTGACCTTAGATTTGGACCCTTGACCTCGCTTTCGTTCTTACCATTAGTCATGTTCTCTCCCTTTTGTCTTTCGTTTTACCTTACATCTCTCTCACCTGCCCAGGGAAGCTCGCTTCCTGTAGAGCGGATAAAAACCCTTCGCGAAAGACACGACGTCGGGGCGTTTGACGCTAAAGCAACATAGTGGCCGACGGGGGCGCGCTCCGTTCGGCAGCGTGGCGTCCGTATTGCGGGCCGCGGCCGCCGCCCGTTCGCGGCGAGTCACGTAGCGGGAGATCTTAAAATGCGTGGACGGCACGTGGGGAGTGTTTACAGCGCAAATCTCGGCGCAGAGAGAAAAGAACAACCCAAAAAGACTCGATAGTTTAAAAAGCACGGCCGTGGATGTCCGTAGAGCCGCGAGGTCTTGAATAGACAGCGTGAAATATCCCAAGTGCATAGGAGCTTCCAGTGCGACCGCCAGCCCGAAATGGACGTGGCTCGATTTTATAATGACGTTATTTTTTCTGTTTATATTTTTCGGGAGGAGTGGAGTAGGGACAGGTGCGAATACGCAGAATGGCTGTTTATTCAGCATAGAAGAAACATCCAGCTTTAGTGGTGAGCGAATTCGAGGAATGAGGTTCTATTATTTTACTGGGGTGTGTGTAGTGGGATAGGGGAATGGGGCGTGTGCGGGAGGCGGTGTAGATGTGTGTTTTGTTGTATGTATGTATAGTGTATTATCTGTATGCTGTATGAGATTTCCATGCTGTGATAGTAGTATCTAACATACCTTCTCACTAGACACTCACGGTGCGTAGTGTATGTCTTTATTGATGCGTGACGACAAAGGCTCAT